ATTCCTCTTCCTGTCATTCCAATTCAAACTGGATTTTCTTCCTGAGCTTTAGTAATGTGAATTTACTTAAGTTGTATGTTACAGAAGTTCTTCAAATAGTGTCTATACCAAGTCTAAGTTCACTTTTTAACCTTGCCAGCCCACTTCAACAGTTCATTCAAAAAAGTACTAGATACGACCAAAAATAAGGTCCCTTTGTGACCACCACTGAGTATAGGGTTATATTCTATACATTAGGACGTAAGGACTTGATGCTTCCTTGGGTCTAGAATGCTTGCCCAAACAAAATGGCATTCCTGTGTAAGAGTGAATGAACTACTGTGAGATTTTACATCTACAACCCAGCTTTGAATAACTCTGAGGGCCCTGAGGTGAGTTTCCAATCACTGCTAAACACGAGGAAAGAGCCATTACCACATGTAATGTAGTGTGTTTGTGATCAAGGATGTAAGAACAGTTGTGAGGGTATATTTGTAGAGATTTGCTGCTGCCCAGTTTGTGATCCACTTTGTTAGGTGTTAGACTGAAATTTGACCTCTAGAGCCATGAACAATAAACTAAAGGCATTTGAACATGGTTTAGTTTATACTTAAACCACTTAAATTACGCTATAAAAAGAAGTATAAATCAGCAATAGTCAACAAGCTGTATATGATTTCTTAAGCTTCCAGCACAGGCTTTTTAAATGCTTAATGGCATCACAACAAAGGTCTAGGCATTTATGAACCTGTGCCCATAGCTATTTCAAACTTGTGTATGCTGATTATGTCTATTTATTCAAATAAAGTTAGCAGCAGTGCCGTTTGACTTCCGTGCACAATGTGGACATTACAGACGCTCTTAAAACAGAAGCAATATTTAACCAGTATTCATTCTGGTATACCCTCCATGGTTGACCACAGTGAAAATAACCAGCTTACAATTCCAGAATGACAGTCCTGCCACTGTCTAGAAATTTTTACCTCATAGAGTCTTCTCAAACGTACAATTTGAGTATTTTCGATTGTTTCTCATGTTCGCTCCCCAGGTTGAGGGAATGTGTTCTTTGTTGAACACAGAGCACAGGTTGTATATTGAGTGACTGAGCTCTCGGTGCGCTCTGGCCCTGAGCTGAGACAGAAAGAGCCCTTTATACTCCTTCAGGCTCTGTGTGTTTAGACCCTGATGGACAGAAGCTAGTGGCTGGTAGTGTGTGCCTGTGAAGAGTTCTTCCCTTACGATTCCACTTAAGTTCAAATACTCATGCTGAAGGGAAACAGGCTTAATAACCGCCAGCTTGAATGGTTTTGGGATGTGACCTAAAGACAACGATGAGTTAATAATATTGATAAGTGTTTTTTCTGCTACAGGTAACAACTCTTTCAATCTTCCGCTGCGGCTGCACCCAGGGTCCGTGGTGTCCTGGCGCCGGTGTGAAGGACATCTGGGAAGATCGCATCCTGGGTGTACCGGGCCTGTGCAGAGAAACACACAGAGTAGAGGTGGTGGGAGAGTTAGCAGCGCGCTGTATACTTACCTCTGACTTGTGAGCGTCAGCCTGGGATGTTTCCAGCGAGGCTCTCCACTCTCTCAGCTGGGTCTGCTTTGCCACCAGGTCCCAGATCTGCTTCTCCACGGCCTCCAGCTCGACCTGCACCGAATGCAGCTCGAACGTGTCCTCACCTGCACTCAAAGGTAGACACACATCCGCCATTAAAGCAAGTAACAGTGAGTAAAACAATGGAAATGTGTGTGAATAGAGTATTAGTGTAAGCGAGATTAGCGGCAACCACGCTGGCGATGCTAGCGGGCTATATGCTAATAGCGGACTCGAAAGTCAAAAATAGAACTAGTGCTAACAAGGCGCTCTGATTGTTTTTGTTGTAGAATACGATAGGGGATATATTCACACGTTATAGAACTGAAAAGAATGGTGTATAAAATTGATTTTAAGATAAAAAATTAGACGACAAAGAATTAACTTGACGGAGCTCAAACCACACGGCAGCAACAAACAGGAAGTGACGTCAGTGAGTGTCATATCTAAATTGCCAATGTATTGTAGTGTGAAACAATCATTGTCCGAAAGTCACCTGGTAATTTCCCACTTCTTTAGAAGAGGGGTTCAAAAGTGATTTTATTTCTCCTTTAGATCAGTATAAAAATATAGGATATTATAAGATGTAATATTATTTAATATAAAGTTATTGTGAAACTTACTAGCAATTTCTGATTGTGTGTGTGTGTGTGTGTGTGTGTGTGTGTGTGTGTGTGTGTGTGTGTGTGTGTGTGTGTGAAACAATTTTCACTCAGAAATGTATAGTTGTTTTACAACTTTGGATTTACTACAAATTTTTATTTACTACTTATAGTAGCTAATTTTATTTTAGTACTTAAACTAAACTTGCATAGTTGCCTTGACAACTAGCTAAAATAATAAAATATTTGTTTAGATTTTATTGCAGTTACCATTTATTTTATTATACTTATAATATTTATTTTACATAGTAATGAAAAAAGATGTATTGTGTTCTAGTTTTGATAATAGTTTATTCAGAGGTCACCCGTGAACAGCCCTCAAACTGAACTGAGTTTTCTTTTTTACTGTTGTGAAGAGATGTAAGGACTGAGCCAAGTCATGTATCAAATTAATGCAAACACGGTAAAAAAAAAAAGTGTTCTTTTAACAATCTTGCTCAAAGCATGCATAACTCCATCAGCTTACTTGACAGGAATCTGTATTGTAAATTAAAACTTGTTCTGCACACAACACATGTTCTTGGCAACGAGGATCACTTTTTATGTTTTTATTTATTAATTTATGGAATTATGATAGCAATTATCCACCGAGGTTACACCAGAGTGATGCATGATAAATAAATATATATATATAT